GGGAGGGGGAGTGGGGCCCCAACGACGCTATTTCGGATTCCCGGTGGTATCCGAAGACGGGCCTCCTCGCGCGTCGATAAGGGGAATCCTGTGCGACCGGTCGACTCTCTCCGCCGCTCGTCCTCTCGAATGGCGAAAAGCGTACGCTTGCTCGTGCGGATATGCGCACGTAAACCCGGACTCCCGGGCGAGCTTTCATAAATTCTTACCGGCGGACGTTTTACCGCGAATTACGGCCCGTCGTTTTACCGCAAAACCCCCGCGCCGGCCAAATCGTGTTTACGGCGTCGGAATATACATATGGGGGAGTTACGAAGAGACGAGGGAAGATGGAGAAACGGGAGACGCCGCCGGACGGGGACGGCGAGCGTCTCTGGGATGCTGGAAGCGGCCCCGGAATGACTTCTCGATGGGAGTCTTTGTGTGTCACGTCCGTTCGAAGGTATCGGTTAGCTTTTGCGCCGGTATCGAGAAACTCTTCTCGAGGGAACTTCTTCTGTCGCGTCGCGTCCGCGAGAATTCTCGACGGTAAACGTCGCGCGCGATCCCGCGGGCTCCTCTCAACTCGCGCACGTCTAAAAGCCACATTTGCAAAATGACAGTAGGGATGAGCGAAGTTAGCATTGCCGGGGGGAGGCTAAACTAACACGAGGAAATTAAAATGGAGAAAACCTTGAACGTCCGATATATTTTATTGAGATTGTATTCGGATGTTCTAAAAATAGACCTCGTCACCCTGACGAAGTCGGGAAGTAAACTGACGAAATGATGTCACGCCGCGCATAAATTACACGTTTATACGTTCCTAAATTTAACGTGTGATTCTAGAAAATCTAAGTTACATTTATCGAAAATTGCCCGCTCGCTCCAAGCCGGTTATTATGCATCCATAAATGATTAACAGAAATTATTTCAAAAAGCTTTCACATAATAATTTGCGCACGGATGATGTATCATCATACCCTCTTTTATTATCCAAGAAAAATATCGCGCCGGAGAAGATTACAGAATTTAACGGTTATGCGATACGATACAGAGAGTTGGCTACGTGGGCGAGTTTATGATCACCTTACCTGATATGAACTGTCAGCGCGGACGACACACATTTCTTCTAATTGAAACGGCCGTTATTGTAATGCGTATGGAAGCAATCGCTGAAACTTTCCCAGCCAATTACATATTATATCGAGATCGATGATATTGACGCGCGAAATTAGAAGCGAATTAGAAGGGGGGAAGGGGCGGGGGGGGGAGGGAGGGGAGAGGAGAACGATCGCGAACGAAAAGTGAGCGCCGGATTCGCGACGATTCGGAATGGAGCAAGGGGGGTATCTTCAAGCATGGTGGAAGAGAGGAAGGAACCGAGTAGGGAGGAGAGCCGAGGGGACATAGAAGGACCACACGCACGCGCCGCCCACAGATACGCTATCACTTGGTTACAACCGACGTGATCTGCATGCGCGTGTCCCCTCTTCGTCACGGAGCGGAAAAAAGGAATGGGGGACCGAGAGGGAGGGGGAGGGGGGGGGGAGAAAGGAAAGGAAAGGAGAGGAGTATTCTCCCATCTATTCTCTCTCTTACTGCGCTTCAGCCCCCTCGGCCTGCCTATCCACCTTCGCTGATTTAAGGAGTCGACGAAGCGTCGATAACGCGATCGTGCCGCGCTGTCTCTTTTTCCTTCCCCCTCGCACGTTGCCCTGTCGCTTTCCATCGCCTGCGGATAAATTTGATCGTGGAGATTAGGGATCGCAATGTTACGCGCTGCTGGCAATTTGTACATCGTGATTGATCCGTCGTTTTACCGCGTCGGTTTGTACGTATCGCGGGGCGACCGAATAAAAACAGCCTGCGATGTCTGATTCTACGCGTTAAATCGCTCGCTCGTGATTCTCACTTGCACTTTTACAACAAATACACGATTATAATTTTTACGAATTATTCCTAATTTTTTTAGTAAATTAAAAAAATAGATTTTTGTTAGATAATAAATTATCATCAGGCTTTATATCGCGTTTTGTCCTTGGGTGTTAAGTCGTTAAGAATCGTCGCAATATTACACGATCGATAAGATACGGGGAAAAAAAGTTAGGTATTATAACGCAATACCATGGGAATATTTTTTGCGGCAAGCGAGAAGCGATTATTCCGCTGGCTTGGCTTCGATGATTTTTCCGAAAAATGATCCAGCAGTAAAACGATTATATTATTACGACCGCGTAGTACCAGTTATATCGGTTTCATTCGCGATTATCATAAAAAGAACTGTCGATCCTCAGCGGCGGTCATTAATCCCGAGGGCATCGCAGCGTTGCACAATGTGAGAGAGAGCTCCCCGCTCTCCTCCCGCGGATAAGCGATATTTTCAGGCGAACGTTTCGCACAGTCGAAACGGGGCTCGCGCTACTCCATTACGTAACTCAATCCCGGCGTATTTACTACTTATGCAAATTGAAATCGAGCGTCCCGCGTAAATCGTAAATTTATTCCCGCCCCTTCTCACGCTCGGCGCGAGAGATATCGTCATCATCAAGCCGC